GTTGACAAACTCATTATCATGAATTTAAATTTAGAAGTAAGAATGCAGGGCTTGATTTGAACTAGACTGAGATTTTCTTGTGTCAAGACAAACACCAGACATTTGGTGGAACGACAGCAATCTTCGCCTCACTACGAAATGAAGATGTATGGAAGTCTACAGAGATATGCATGTGTGTGAGCGTGTTTTGATATGGTCACTGGTAAATACCTATGTAGGTATAGTTTCCTTCATGCCAGATTGATTGGAGTATGAAAATCGAGGCAGCCAAAAGACTATCATCTTAATTATGATGACGGTGATGATGATGCTTTGGTCTGTATTAGAGTCCCATGCCATGGTAATGTATTCCGAGTAATGTCAATGTCAAGGAATTACCGTAGCCATCCATGGTTCATTCCCCTTCTTTGCCAACATCATCAGCTTCCCTCATTTTCATCATTCTTTCATTAAACAAATCATGTTTAATTATTTCAACTTCTCCGCATTTGTCGGCCCATACTGAAGACCAGTTAGTTCATACACTTTCACATAATACCAAACCGTTGCCCAGACACTTGCTCGTATATCACTTGGAACGTAAATCATTATCGTCGTCGTGGCCGTCGTCCAATGTCGGGGCATATGAATTAACCAGTAGTCATTTGTCATTTGTTTATTTCATCCAGTTTGGTCGCGGTTTTGTTTTTCTTTTTGAGGACACCGGATGCATTGCCTGAGTTTTAGTTGAAATTTTTTGCAGATGTTTGTTTTTGTTGATTTCAAGTTTTCTGTTGTTGCTCTTATTTGTCGTTCATTGAAAAATCAAAGATAATATCCTGTTTTATTGAAACAAAGAGAGCAAATTGTTGTTGTTGTTGTTGTTGTTGTTGTTGTTGTGAGTGTGGAGATGATGGACCTCAATGAAGACAAAGCGAAAGTAAGATATGAAAAAAATAAAACAATGTTGTATAAGGACCAAAACACGACATTATTCTAGTAAGGATAAAAAGGGACATATTTTTGACAGAAGTTTCTCTCAATGACCTTAAAGACTCCTTTCATGGACATAAGAACGTTACATAGATGAATACTTTCATGACGTATTTTCTTAATAGAAGAAGCAGGCAACGTGCAGTCCCTGGCCCGGTCCCTCTCTAATATTGCTACTTTTTGCAATTATCAATTCTCCTACCAAAGTTGGCAGCCTTCGATCCACATTGTGATTGGAATTTGTGAGGAAGAGCAGGAAGGTCCAACATGGATATGGGATGATATTCACTGGATAAACATGAATTCTAGCACGGATATGAAAGGATACTGCTATGAGAGTCCTAAATAAATACTCAAGCAAGGTTCAGAAAGGACATAGAAGGATTCTATAGGCCAAAAATCTTAATAGGTATTTAAACAAGAAGAACCATAATAAGTATTCAAGCAAGTCGCCAGAAGGATATTGCTGCAATAGATCTAAATAACTACTAAAGCAGGGTTCTACAAGGACACACTGACAAAAGCTGCCAATCTTTGGTCCGGTAATCTGGAGTTTTCAGTATTCTTTTGACTCGAGACCTTGAAATAAATTCGTATGAGGGAAAGCAGAAAGATCTGAGGTTGGAAGACCCAATTTCTGGCTAAATGCTCTAGTCCTCAGAAGAATGTGAGAAAGGTATCCACTGGATAAGAGTAGATTATACTGCAAAGACGTGGATAAATACCCTAGATCGAATATAAAAGTATGCGGGGATACTACTGCGAGAAACCTTGATAAGTACTCAAGCAAGGTGCCTCAAGAATAAGCCAGGATACTACTGCGAGAGACCTTAACACGAACTCAAGCAAGGATATACAAGTATGTTAAGCACAAAACCTAATCAGGGACTCGGATACCTAGATGAGTACCCCAAAGTAGAATGTCAGAGTTAAAGTTAATGTTGTCACTTTCTAGTGGAGTTACGGATAATTTTGACCTGTTTTATAAAATGGACTGCATACGGTATAATATGCACCCTAGATTTATTGGTATTACGAGGATTTCCCCTATGGACCGGGAACTATATATGCACCCTCTAGCATCCAGCTCATCTATATGGACTCCCTGTCCTCTAGCTCTTCTGTATGGATGCCTTGGCCTACGGCTCGTCTATATAGATTCACTGGCCTTAAACTTTTCTATTTAGGCTTCCTGGCATCCAGTCCGAATTTTTAGACTCCCTGGCCTCTATCTCATCTATATGAGATCCTTGGCCTCTTGCTAGCCTATATGCACACCCTGGCATCCAGCGCGTTTATATGAACTACCTAGCATCCAACTCGTATATATGGACTCACTGGCCTACAGCTCGTTTATATGGATTCACCGTCCTCGTCTATATTGACTCCCTTGGCTTCAGCTCGTCTATATGGGCTACCTTGGCACCAGCTCGTTTAATCAGACTGTCTGTCCGCTAAATCATCTGCATGGACTCCTCGGGCTCCCTGGCATGCAGTCCGTCTTTATAGACTCTATGGTCCCCAGCTAGTCTATATAGACTCCCTTGGCACCAGCTCGTCTATACTTTGGCACCAACTCGTTTATACAGAGTCCCTGTCCTCTAGCTCATCTACATGGACTCGCTGGCCTCGAACTTGTCCATTTGGACTCCCTGGTATCCAGTTCGTCTTTATGGAATCCATGGCATCCAGCTTGCTTATGTGGAACCCCGAGCCTCCACCTCGTATATATAGACACTTATGGCTCCAGATCATTTATATAGACTCCCTGGCACCCAGCGCGCCTATATGGACTCTCTAGCCCACAGCTCGTTTATATGGTCTATATGGCCCCCAACTTGTCTATTTGGACCCCACGGCAACCCGTCTGCTGATATGAACTCCCTGGCTTTTAGCTCGTTTATGTGGGCTCACCTTCCTTTAGATCACATTTATGTATATGTCTCTATATGTCTATATGAACTCTCTGGCCCTCAGCTTGTGTATATGGATTCCCTGGCAGACAACTTGCCTATATGGACCCTCTGGCCTCTAGTCTCTATTTTTAGTTTAAAGTTTTTCGGTTTTAGGTAGTAATGAAAGTGGCAGATGACATAGAGGTTTCTAACGATTGAATTTTATGATGTATTTTATAGAAAGAAAAAATCTCTCTAATTCTAGATATAAAAGTGTAATTTTGATAATAGAATCTTGTATAACAGAATTGTTTCTATAAAAGAAAATCTTCTAAATTTTAGATAATTTCCAAAACTTTCATCTTTTCCATGCATATCGATTAAAACTTTGGATCAATTCATTGAAGTCAACAAATTTTCCTATCGCCCTCATAAACAAAGTTCATCTCTAATCCTTTTGTCCACTTTAATGGAAGAACACACCAACTCTCGCCACTTTGATGACAAGCAACATAAAACCCATAAAAGCCATACATATGTAATAGGTTTGCATGAATTTGTTTTGTTTTTAATTTCAAAATGTAAATCATTGTTTTTCGTTTTTTTTTTTTTTTTTTTTTTTTTTGTAAAAAATAAGTTATCAACTACATTTTGATTGAAATTGTTTTTGGGAATCAATCATCGGCTCAAAAGCTTTTTTAAAATCCATCAAGGCCATTGCAAAAAGAACGACTACAACCAACATCAAATGGCCAAATAGAGTGTATCCACAAAACAGTTTTTAGAGGATTTTGTTCAGTGATGTGTGTGGAGGAAAATATGCAAATGAGGTGAATGTAACCGAAGCGGTCGCTGGAGTAGAAGACTAACACTGGAGTGAGAGACTAAAAGTGTGGGATCACTATATCAACTTGCACACAATAGTTGTACATACACACACACGAATGTGTGTGTACACGTGTATGTGTTGATCCACATTAGACACAGCATATCAAACAACTGCCTGTCAAATTCCAGCGACGAAATGAATGTGTTATGTTATCCCTACCAGTCGCAAGGACATTAAACGAAATTTCAATTTACATTTTAGTTCACAAATCACAATCACAATTCGGCCAAATAGCTTTCATAATGGCATGAAGGGGTACCATATTGGCATGATAGATATTGTTTTTGGAATTGAATTCTTCAAATTTCATAGGACGGATAACGCAATTATTTAAATGATTTTGGAATATAACCTACCTAGGCAAAAAAAGTAAAATTATTTTTTTTTATATTTGCAGGAAAATTCCAGCAGATTATGAAATTAGAGCAAAACATGGGTGAACGTGGTATTGGATGAAATAGTAGGGGATTAAAACTAAAACATGAGACTATGTTGGCGATTTCCATTAAGTTGACCTAAAATCTATTAAAAAAACCCTATGATCCGAATTGCAACCAGTTCGGCTGGAAAATCTAGCCAATTCTTGGATCTATAGCATATTATAAACAATTTTGTAGAGCATTTTGCCATACTAAGATCTGGAATAAAGGATGTTTTTTATTATATTTTGGAAAAGAGACCAACAAGATCCCTTGAGTGAGAAGAGAAAACCAACCGAACGGTTTGGCTGTTGATTCAATTCTGTTTTTATTTAAAATATTTGTTTCTTACGTACTACTGAAACTAATCTAACTTAACCTAGGCGCAGCCACACAATTGTTCTTATCTATTCTAATATTGAATGGAGAACATTGCAGGGCTGCTTTACATTTCATTCAAGTGATCTTGTGCATCTACTGAGCGCATCGATATCTGTGCGTGTGGGTCATAACCTTTATTATCTGACACATTATCGTATGCGTCAGCGCACAAGATCACCGAGTTGTTCACATGTGGTATTTTATGGCGGCTGGGAAATATGTAATTTTTGAATATTTATTGTTTATTGCTAGTTTTTCCCAGCGCCTCAACCGCACTCAAAAGTATGTACAAAGTATTTTGTACATTCTCCCCTGTGCATGTTTATAGTGGACTGTATTTTTTATAAAGTTAACAAATGGATAATATGGAATATTTAAATATAAAGATATGAAAGATTTGAAAAGAAAATTTATGCGTAACTATCTATATATGTTGAAATAATATCAGGTAACCGCTTCCAGGAAACGACTCCAACGTTTAATCCAGCCTCTCTTGCCGATACCACCACCTTTATTTGCCGGCTTCATTTTCCATGCTGCCGAATTAGTAGTCCATCGCTGCAGACCGTCATCACCCATGTAGCAAAAGATTGCCGTTGGCTTTATTGTAAGCTCCGATTCGTCGTCTTCTGTTTTCACGGCCCTTGATGATTTGCTATGGATTTCGCTAAGACCTTCAGGAACCGGTACCAGAGAATTTTGTTTGGCTTTTCCCACTTCTTCGATAAATTCATTTCCATACTCGTTGGAATACTCTTCAGGAACCGGAACCAGAGAACTTTGTTTGTCTTTTCCCACTTCTTCGATTAATTCTTTTCCATATTCGTTGGAAATGATGGGACCTTCTGTGCTTATCGCCTTCATTTCTTTTTCCTTTTCTCCAATATCATTATGTTTTTCGGGTTCTTCATTGGTCAGGGCGGAATTTTCTTCTTCTTCTTTCCGTTCCTCAAAATGAGGACTTGCCGGCGGGAAAAAATTCCCAGAATTACCTTCCAAGACTGGAATCTGTTTTCGTTCAACAGCATTATGTCCCTCTCTTGCATTTGCTAGTTGTGTGGACAGGTCATCTTTTCCAGCTTCGACGACTTGCCTTTCCTTTTCTTCCTTGTCCCCTTTTTGATTGTTGCTGGATTGCTGCGATAGGAACATCTGCTCAATTTCTTCCATAATCGACTTAATTTTCTCCTGGTGCTGCTGGATAATCACATTCTGGAACGCCCGAAACTCTCGTACCATTTTTTCCATATCGAACTCGGATGTATTCAATGCCCCAGGATTTTCGAGCTCAATAACTCCTGACGCTGTTGTATTTTCTCGCTCCTCTTCTTGGAACTTTTGATTTTGGAACTCCTTTTCCATTTTTTGCTTTTATATATATTTTTTTTTTTTTTGTATATTTTGCTTCTTCGTTTTTTTTACTGCTTTTCTTTCATTTATTTATTATTATTATTATTTTTTTTTTAATTTACTTCTTTTTTAATTGGGACTTTTGATGTCCTCTTTTCAAAATTGCATGTTTTTTTCTTTTTGGGACTTTATTGTCCTCCTTTAGTTATTTTATTTTTTTTTTTAATTTGCCCCGTGGGTCTTTTTTGTTTTTTTTTTCTTGCTCCTATGGCGTATTTTGTAATTTTTGCCCGTTGGGTCTTTTTTTATTTTTGCCTTTATGGTTTTTTTATTTTTTTTTTATCCCTCAACGGATTTTTATTTGTAGCTATTCTCCTCCTTTTTGAAGAATAGCTACTTCTGCTTGTAGTGAGTCTCTTACCACTGGTGGGGGAAAACTCCTACTATTTTCTTTTTGTGGTCGCTAATTCGTTTCACTTTAACCAAAGTGAAGGCTCGATTGACCAATGAATGAGAAGAGAAAGAACAACCATATTCTTTGGATGTAGTTTCAATTCTTAGTATCCGGCTCGAAGGACCAATGAGTGAGAAAGGAAAACCAACCGAACGGTTAGGCTGTTGATTCAATTCTGTTTTTATTTAAAATATTTGTTTCTTACGTACTACTGAAACTAATCTAACTTAACCTAGGCGCAGCCACACAATTGTTCTTATCTATTCTAATATTGAATGGAGAACATTGCAGGGCTGCTTTACATTTCATTCAAGTGATCTTGTGCATCTACTGAGCGCATCGATATCTGTGCGTGTGGGTCATAACCTTTATTATCTGACACATTATCGTATGCGTCAGCGCACAAGATCACCGAGTTGTTCACATGTGGTATTTTATGGCGGCTGGGAAATATGTAATTTTTGAATATTTATTGTTTATTGCTAGTTTTTCCCAGCGCCTCAACCGCACTCAAAAGTATGTACAAAGTATTTTGTACATCCCTTTTGTTGTCTCGCTTGAGGGTTAATGTTTTTGACCAAAATAATACTTGAGTTGTCATAAGTAATATTGTCGAAGAATCCGATAATTTAAAAAAAAAAAAACTTATCGGCTCTATTTAGGTTCCTGTGGGCTGTTAACTTTTAAAAACGCCGGAATACTCTTCTTTTTTTAGCTCCACTTTCATTTTTCCCGGTAATGATTGAAAATAATGAAGTGTAATTACAATCCCCTCTGTAGGTCTTCTATAAGCCGAAGACCATTCAACGACCTTCTTTAGACAGAAGCCCAACAATCAGTCTTCCATACGTAAATAAATGGTCAGAGGCCCAAAAAAACGCTTTAATGACAACATTTAAGGTTTGAAATAATTCTCGGATTGTTATCAAAAATATTTCCGAAGACACTATATAACTAAAATGAGCGGTTCTCAATAAAACTTTATCCGAAAATCTAAAAAAATACTAAAGAGGATAGATTTTGCACTCCACTCGTGGCCTATTGCAAAGCAAACTTCAAAACAACGATTTTTTTTGGTTGTTTTAAACTCTTATTTCATTTTCCCCTCCGCAGGTCTTCTATAACCAGAAGGCCATTCAACGGCCTTCTTTAGACAGAACCCTTGCTATAGGTCTTTCATACATGTATAAATGGTCAGAGGACCCATAAAACCCATTTGACGATTTCCTTGAAGGTTAAAAGGTCTAAAATAATCCTAGGATTTTTATCAATAATAACGCCGAAGACAACACGTAACTAAAATGAGCGGATTCCAAGAAATCTTTATCTGAAAATCTTAAAAAAATATTAGGGAGGAAGGATTTTGTCCCCTCTATTTAGGTTGCTTTGCAATGCGAAGTTTTACAAGTAAAAAAGCAGTAAATTCGGCCGGGCCGAACTTTTAATACCCTCCACCCTTTTGGAACGAATTTGGAAATTAAAAAATCATAAAATCCGTTAAAGATTCTATTAAAATATAAAAAATACCGAATATAGCCCTTATATTGGGGTCTATACGAAGACGTGGACCTGCACAGGCAACTTCTGTCATAACCCATTAAAATATTAAAATACACCATTTGAAAAAAAAAATCCGGTGAATAATGTAGCTAATCAAAATACCGAATATAGGGAAGTACCGTTATATAGGGGCTATACGAAGGCATGTACCTGCATAGACAATTTTCTGTCACAGCCTGTAGTGCATATTAGGAACTTCAAATACGAAATTTCAAACCATTTCGGGAAATATTGTACCTAAAATCGTCAAAATACCCAATATGGGTACTGGTAAATGGCACCTATACGAAGAACGGGACCTGCATACGCATTTTTGTCATAGGCTTTAATACCCATTACGATCTCTAAATACCAAATTTGAAAAGCCCCCGGTAAATAATGTAGCTAAAATTATCAAAATACCTAATATTGGAAGGTACCGTTATATGAGGGCTATACTAAGAAGTAGGCCTGCATATGCAATTTTTGTCATAGGTTGTTGTACCCATTACAAAGTTCAAATAAATTTGAAACAACTACGTTAAATAATGTCCTTAAAATCGTCAAAATATCGAATATGGAGGGTACCGCTATATGGCGGCTATACGATTTCGTGGACCTATGTAGACATTTCACTTCCAGGGAGTAAAGTGCTTAGAAAGAACTTCTTGTATGGATTTGAAGACAGTTCCATTGCAAAAATTTAGCTAAAATCATCGAAATACCGAATATAGGGAGGTAACGTCTTATGGGTCATATACGATATCGTGGACCCATATAGGCAATACTCTTCCAGGGGTTAAAGTACTCACTCCTGTTATGGATTGTTAGACAATTTCATTGAAAAATTTGCCTACAATCATCAAAATGCCGAATATCGGGGGGTACCGTTATATGAGGGCTATACGATACCGTGGACCGTAGGCAGGTCAAGTTCGAATATATAGCCCAAAAATCGTTTTAGAATTTTACGCTGATCATATATTCATGTATAATCTTTGTTAGGTCTAAACTCATTATTTCAATGAGTTACAAACGGAATGACGAACTTAATATACCCTCCATACTATGTATGGTGGGTAAATAAATTGACAATTTCCTCATTTTTTAGAGGAAGTTCCATAAACTGATATAAACATCAGTGGAAACCTCGAATAAAACTTTCTAAATTAATAAAACTTTCTAAGTTAATATCATTCCAAAATTCAACACCCTTTGCCTTGATTCGCATATGCCTGTTGCTATTTCAAATCATCAAATGTGACTGCAATCATTGCCAGCATTCGCCGACCGCCCCCGCTCCCTCTCCTCTCTTGCAATTATGAAACCCATGTCTTTGTTGGTTAAAATTTATGCACGTTTTCGAGAAGTGTGAAAAAATCCTATGTTGTTTTTGTCCTTCGCAAAGCATTGGCGGATGAGGGTTATGAAAGCAACCCCTTTTTTGATGATTGAGGGAAATAAAACATTGTTGACGGTGGATGGATGGCTGAATGATGAGTTTTGTTTGTGGTGTAATTAAATCATGATGCAAATATGTTAATACCGGTAAATAAACAAACACCCACTCACACACGCACAAGTATGTTGACAGTCCAACTCATGGCTAAATAAACCCTTGATGCCATCTCGGCTGTTTATATGTGTGGACGGTTGAAGGATGATGGCATTATTGTTCGACCATCATAAACAATAAATAAAAGGTGTGAAATTGATTGTCGTCTATGTTGTTGTTGTTGTTGTTGTTGCAGTCGCAGTGTTACCTCTGCATTTGATGACTTTTTGATAGGAAAAGCTGACAAATAATTGGGAAAGAACGCCAGCACATGGCTGAAAAGCAGTTCTTCAAACTTGGGAAAGTACAAGCACTTATGCGTTTACATCAAACATGTTTTAATAAAGCATGTCATTTAAAATGTCGTTTAGATTGAAATTTTAAATAAACAATGTTTTACCAAAAGTTTATGTTCCAGACATGTTGCTTTTTATCGAGTGTATATTGCAGCATTGGCTATCGCCATAATTTAACTGAACAAAACCCTATCATATCTAAGATAACATATAACAATTACATTTGGGGCACTTCCCAATTCTGACATGGCTTTTTCTGTCCATTTTTAAACTACACAACATCAAAAAAATTTGTCTACAACTATGTATGAAACGTAGCTGTTAGACTTACCATCGAACCTAGCGACATGATAACCCTTTCTTCATTTTGCTATTCAAGTTTCTTTGAGAGAGAAGGTAAAAATTCTAAGTCGATTTAGCGATGTCCGTCTGTCTGTCCGTCTGTCTGTCTGTTGTAATCACGCTATCTTTCGAATGATTTGAGATAGGTGGCTAAAATTTTGCACACATGTTTATTTTTTCAGTAGGCAGGTTAAGTTCGTAAATGGGCCATGTAGGTCCACGTTTTCATATAGCCCCCATATAACGGTACCTCCCTATATTCGGTATTTTGATGATTTTAGCGACATTATTCACGGGAATTGTTTCAAATTTGGTATTTGAAGTTCAAAATGGATACTACACGCTAAGACGGAAAATTATCTGTGCAGGTCCACGTCTTCGTATAGCCCCCATATAACGGTACCTCCCTATATTCGGTATTTTGATGATTTTAGCGACATTATTCACGGGAATTGTTTCAAATTTGGTATTTGAAGTTCAAAATGGATACTACACGCTAAGACGGAAAATTATCTGTGCAGGTCCACGTCTTCATATAGCCCCCATATAACGGTACCTCCCTATATTCGATATTTTGATGATTTTAGAGACATTATTCACCGGAATTGTTTTAAAATTGGTATTTGAAGTCCGTTATGGGAACTACAGTCTGTGACAGAAAATTGTCTGTGCGGGTCCAGGTCTTCGTATATTCGGTATTTTGACGATTTTAGGTACAATACCCACCGAAATTGTTTGAGATGTGGTATTTGAAGTTCGTAATAGATGCTACAGCCTGTGACAGAAAATTGTCTATGCTGGTCCAGGTCTTCGCACAGCTCCAATT